GGGGACATTGATATTAATCTAATTGAAACAATGTCATTGAGTCAATTCATTGATAGATCAAAACTCCTTTGATATTTATTGATGGGTCTTCAATAAAATTGAGCGTGTGTGGGCAAAGCGTCAATATTGATCAATAATTTAGTGTGTTCCCTTGCAGCAGTGAAAGAGATACCATTTCTTTACCCACTTACTCCTCTTCTTTCGCTTTGGAGTGTCCAGAGCAAGCACTACTCCAAGTGCCACAGATGCTTTCATCTCGAAATTATGAATCAAACTGAAAATTGAAGTAAAATCATTGACCGTGTGAGGGCACAGTGATTTCCATCAATTCATTGACGTCAATAAATTGATATCAATTAATTGACGAAAAAATTGATCGTGTGAGGGCCCCTTAAGACGTGGTGCCATATAAAGCTAGGTGCGAGTGCAACTGGAGTGTGTCGCCCTCTCCTATACATATACATATAAGGATATATGTGTGTGTGTGCATAATTATATTTGTTTCTGTTTATAAATGTGTGCGTGCGTGCATTGAAAAATTGTATATATATATATATATATATATATATATATATATATATATATATATATATATATATATATATAACACATTTATATACATATATGTCTATTCGCGTGTGCGTACATACTTCAATATGCATCTGTATAATAAAACTGGTATTACATAGCAAATCAAGCCATTTTGCTTGAGTCAACTCACTCGTCCTCACTCTCATTAATATTCACATTCAATCAAACTTTCTAAAAAAAAAAAAAAAAAAAAAAAAAAAAAAACTACAAAAATCATCGACGAAAATACACCCCCACACATTCCCCAGCCGCCAGCGACCGTTTCTCCAAATATGTCGTTAAGCGTCGGTCACCAACGAGGACTGATTATCTTTTGTCGCCAGGACCTGATCGCTACGGCAACGACCCAGGCGGTGCGGGCGCTCCGGACTCCCGGCTTAAGAGCATCGACGAAATACTGCGAATACAGGATTACAGTGAGTGCAGTAAATTGGGATTACTTTGTTTGATTTGCGATCGTTGTCTATTTCGAATGTGGGATTATTGTTTGATTTTCACGTGTGTTATCTATAATAAATTAGGATTATTTTGATTATTATTCAGATTTTCTATCGTAACAATTTCAAATTAGGGTTGTTATTCTGTTGTATTTCCAATGGTTTCCACCATTTCAAGATTTGTCATATTTTCCATTATTCAATTTTTCATATTAGGACTAATTTTCTGACTTTATATTGTACTGTTTCAGATTAGGATTTTTCTGTTTATTGTCTCAACTTAGGATTGATTTTCAGATTTCTATTGTTTAAGCTATTTCAAAATAGGTTTAATTTCCTGATTTCCTTTTGTTTCGTCTATTTCAAATAATAAGGATTTTTAGTTATTTTCTATCGCTTTAGCTATGTCAAATTATTATTTTTTGTCTGATTTTCCATTGTTTCATATCAGGATTCTTTTTTTTCTGATTTACTCTTTACATTTACCTATTAAATGTTCCCAATACATCCTCCATATTCGTATGCGATATTTCGATGTAACTTTTTTCTCCCTCCTCCTCCTTTTTCCTCCTCCTCCGCTTCTTCTTTTTCCTCTTCTTCCCCCTCCTCTTATGGCTCTCGTCAACGGCCATGCTCGCTCTTCACCGCGACTCACCAAGGTTTTAACTAACTCTTAATTAGGCTCAGCATATCCGTCTTATAATTTTGTGTACCATAATTTCTCCTACAATTAATCCTTGGGTTTTATTTACCAATATTCAATAATCGAATATGTTTTGAGAGTCGTGATGTCTAGGCGGGAGACAGTGTGAACTCAAACTCTTTTTTCTTCGTTATTTCAAAAGGGAATCATTGCCTCGTTTTAGGTTATTCCATTCTACGTTATTTATTCGCGACCGGATCTCTACCGTCAACTGAGGACTACGTGTATAGTGAACACAAGAACACCTTTAAGTAGATCCCCCTAATTCTTCACAGAATCCCAATATGAAATGAAAAAGAAAATCAGTCAAAAAATCATCCTAATTTGAAACAGGTGAACCAATATGTAAAAAAATCATCCTACTTTGAAATAGATGAACCAATAGGCAAAAAATCATCCTAATTTGAAACAGATGAAACGATAGGAAATCGGACAAAAAATCCTTATCTGAGAGAAACTGATGAAACAAAATGAAGTCAGAAAAAAATCCTTATTTGAAACAGATGAAACAAAAGGAAATTAATCCTAATCTAAAAAAAAAAAAGAACAGAAAATCAAGCAAAATAATAATCCCAATTTATAACAGATTAAACAACAGAAATCAGAAAATGGACCCTAATTTGAGGTCGGCATCCCCAACTTTCTCCCCGCAGGCAGCTGACCCGACCAAACGCGTGAAACTTGTCATAACGCGCTTCAACGTCGGGTTGGACGCCACCCTGACGATCAACCTCGACGGGACCGAATTTCACGGCAGTGGCATCAGGGTCGTTCGGAAACCTCTCACTCAGACGACCTTCATCTCAACGGGGAGTGTTCTTCGGATGCTGTACACTGGTTCCAGTCTCGCTTACGCTTTCACCTATTCTATGGTGGATTAAGTGAGTGGCTTTTGAGCTAGAGAGAGTTCCCGATAACCACTGGACGAGACTGACGGTCGACGACGAAAAATAAATAAATAAATAAAATGAAAAAATGAATCAAAAAAATAAATATTAAAAAAATAAATAAAAACAGGAGGCGGTTGGCCTTCCATCTGGAATACACTTCTAGGCAGAGAATTAAATCTTTGGCACATACCATGCCCCTGATAATAAGAAAACTAATTATGATTTTGAACATTGTCACACATGTGTAAAACAGAAGTAAATGACCTACAAACGTCAAAAACATGCATCTTATCAAATAAAATGGTGTTCATTCAATTTACTTTTTTTTTCTTGGCACCCTCGCACTCCTCCAATCTTTCCAAGTCACCCCTCCCCCCTCCCCTGTGCCTTTGAAAGCAAATGATGTGACACACACTTTAAGCCTTATTTCCGCGTGACATGCCCCAAGCGTTATCTCACCTATTTTAAATTCTCCTTAAGATTTGGAATTGAATATTTATCATTACTTTGATGAGATTATAATAATCATACTTAAGAGTGAGTGAGTGAGTAATGTATAAGATTATTATAATGTCATCAAAGTAATAGTTAAAATAATGCTATATATATATCTATATCTTTATCTATATATATGTATATATGTATATATGAATATATGAATAGATAGATAGATAGATAGATACATATATATACATACATACATATATAATAAATATATATATATATATATATATATATATATATATTATATATATATATATATATATATATACATATATATACATATATATATACATATATATATACATATATATATATATATACATATATTATATATTATATATATATATATATATATATATATATATATATATATATATATTATATATATACATATATATATATATATATATATATATATATATATATATATATATATATATATATATATATATATATATATATATATATATATATATATATATATATATATATATACAATAAATTGATAAAAAAAAACATATAGTTTTGGGATTTTACTTTTAAATTTGATGAAATTGCCAATAGAAAGGGTGGTATAAACTCAACGTGAAGGTTTACAGTAATTTGTTGATATTGATTGTTAATTTTCCTTAGAATAAAAGCTTGCAGGTCCTTGGTGGGGCGATTTAGTACAGACAACGCTCCCAGGAACATTTACTGGGAGTGTGTTACTAGAACCTAAGGCTTTTTCATTTTTAAATCTTTTTAAAATAAAGTTTAGGGGAAAAACATTCTTTCTTGATAAACATGTAATAAAACAAACTTCTAAGAATATGAAATAATCCTTAGAAATTCTGCATGCTCTATAAATCAAGGCTGGGATCTGGTTTTCTTTACATCTAATTAGGATGTACAAATCAATTTTAGTATCGAGGAGAGTATAATCTAATTTTCGATACACTGAAGATACGCAGGAATTTCTTAAAAGGGAAGAGACCATTATTTCCATTCAATGCTGGTGTGACTATAATCCATTAATTTATTGATATTCTCTTGGAATTTGAAAAGCAATTCATTTTTAATCCAGTATTTAAAATGATGAACAGGTTTGAAATTCTGCTGTACAGTCCTTTGACTAACTGTTCACATTATACGCTAAATTATAAGACACGGGAGATCCTAAAGGGCTCCTTATAATAACGCTCCAGATTTGTTTATAAAATTCACAATTGAAGGAGAATAAAATATGTAATAGATATGTCCAATATTCTTTTTTTTTTAATATTTATACTTTTCAGTTAGACCAAAAACTTTAACAATGCTTTTAAATAATGAATTCCTGATTACATAAATTGCTTCATCTAAGGGAACACTGGTAAAATGGTTTCTTACATCAAAACTACTGAGACATATCAACTCAAATGTAGGATTTAGATTAGATTTAGAACAACGGTAATATAAATTTGAATGGCCTATGATTTGAGGTTATTTTCTGCAAAAGAAGAATTTTAAAAATTGAAGCATTATAGTCAACTGTTCCTTAATAGATGCATATGTTGGTTTACAGAATTTTTGGGATTTCAGTAAGAATTTTTGGGATGTCACATCTGGTTTTGACCCAAATGTGAAAATAGATAAGTTGCATCATCAATAATATCTTCCTTTTTAAGTTTTCTTACTCATGAGTTTAGTCTATTATTAATTTTTGATAATAAAAGACTCAGGCATGTTGTTGATCATCTTCTTGTATATTCTCTACTTTACTTTAAGTATTCACTTTTATTCAAGAATACTATGCCTTGACCTTTGTCCACTTTTGTAATAATTATATCAGTGTTCTCTGATAAGTATTTAGCAACTGTAACATAAAGTCTGATTTTGATAACAATTCACTGAAAATTGAAGAAGCTAAATTCTTAACCCCATACCAACAGGAATGGCAAATATGTACATGCCATGCCCAATGTGAGTTTAATATCATCTTTACACATACATGGCTCCACAATGAGCCAATTACCTATCTCACCTATTTATCTTTTTTATTGATATTTGGAAACATTTTCTTTTATCTAAAATTGCTGTTAGTAATGTCAATAACACTATAAACTTTATAATGTCTATAACAACTATTACAGCTTTGATGTTAAAAACATTAGTAAAAGAAAAAAATAAATAAATAAATAAATATCTTACAAAACCTCAAGGAAAGGTGAAATCAGGGGAGGTCACGAGGTTGAATAAATTACTATTTGGTGGCTAATATAGAGATGATTTCATAAAACGGTACTGCAGTAAACACTACATTTTCCTAGTGACACTTTACGACACTGAATTTGTGGCAACTTACAAGAAAACTTGACTAAAGAAATATCAAAGAAATCATTCAAATTTAGCAAAATTAAATTCTGGTGACAGGATACCAAATCTTGAGTCTGTAGCCTTGGAGTTTTAAGACCAGTTTACACAGGGAAGATTAAAAACTATTTTTTCTACATTACTCTATATGAAATGGAAGTGATGGTTATTAGTATAAAGGCACTGGCTTCAAGTTGTCATGTAAGAATAAACAACAAGATCATAAAGCAGGTGAAATGATTTTGCTACCTGAGAAGCTGCATTACAAAAGAAGAATATCTGAAGCAAAGATGGCAATTCGGAAAATAAGAAATATTCTCGCCAACATCCACCTATCATTGAAAATGCGACAAAGAGTCAAAGCATATATATTGTCTGAGTTGTCGCGCAGATCTGAAACCTGGACAATGAATAAACAGATAGAGAAGAGGTTGGGAACATTTGAAATATGGTGCTGGCAAAAGGTTTAAGATCTTAGACAGAGAATGAAGAAGAGCTTAGAAGATTGGACACTGAAAGAGAGTTACTGGTGAATACAAGAGTAACACAGATGAGGTTTGTAGGACGTGTAATGAGAAGAGGAAGGAGAGAGGATCTACTCTTAAGAGGAAGAATCCCAGGTAGTGGAGCATGAGGCAGACAAAGCGAAAAGTACATGGATGGAATAAGAAAAGTAGTAGGAGATGGAAACAAAGCTGCACATGTAATACAAATGACAGATTGAAAGGTGTGGCAATTTATGGTTGCCAATGTCTGCAGGGGCACAGCACATCGATAAGATAAGATAAGATCCACCTTAAGAGATGCCTTGAATTATGGAGTTCTAAATCAAAAAGTTTTCATTGATATTATATTGCTTTTCTTCATTGCATTAGAAGTAAATGTCTCAGAATAAACTTTAAGGCGATTGATCATATTCAAAAAGTTTGAATCATGATTTCTTTTACAAAAATATAACTCAAGTAGAATTTTTTCTTCTTTAAATAAATCCTCCCCCATTATTTCCATATTTCCTGAATGTGTAGTTTCCATACCTTTTATTTATAACTGAAGTAGTAGGACTTCCAACTGGGAGGTGGCCATACGACAAACTTGAGGAACGGTACTGCCGAGGAGATCCTTCTTAAACTGTCGACCCCAAACTAAAACATTGAACTTGTAGGTGTTTAATTACACATCATAATTCTTCAGATGCTTTCAACAAACATTACTGTAAAGAGACTGACAATCATTATCTTTCAAATTACCTTAATTAGATTTCAGACATGAAATTAATGTCTTATAAAATTAATGCAATGTGACAAGACAATAAAGCTATGCCCAACTATTTTATTTGTGTTAGTAATAGTTGATATAAATATATATACACCTATCTATATGTTTATATGCATAGACATTTATATATGTGTATGTATTCAAGTGTGCATATATGTATATATGTATGCATGTATGTATGTGTATATTTCTGTGTGTGTGTTGTGTGTGAGTGTAAGTGTGAGTGTGAGTGTGAGTGTGAGTGTGAGTGTGAGTGTGAGTGTGAGTGTGTGTGTGTGGGGGGGGTGCGCACGTGTGTGTGTCTTTCTATATGTATATAATAACATATATAAATTTACATAATCATATAAATATATATTCATAAAAAATATAACATATTTATGTATATTCATATATGTGTATATATACACATTTATATGTTTATATACATGTTTACATATGCATACATACATCCATACATTTCAGATAGTGAAAAAATTTGAAGAAAAAGTCTGCCAGGTTTAGACAGGCATTCCACATCATGCAGGATGGGACTGGCCACAAACCACACACAAAACCAGAAACATGACAAACTGAACAATAATGGCTGAAATTTCTGAAAAAAAGCAGTTATAAAAATATTTCATGCTTAACTTGGGCTTGGTCTAACTTGGTGATAGTCTCGTTCATCTTCCAACATCTGGTCTTGGAACTTCTGGCTAAAACTGTAAAAGAAATTTATCTTTATTCGTTGCACTGCATTTTGAGCAGAGCTATAATCAAAAATGATAAAATCAAGTAAAATGATGGAGAAAAATAATAACACCATATATAGTAACTAAAATGACATTTCCTAAATTTGTCTGAACCAGGAAATGTTAATAGATAAAAAATTGTAATGTAAATTTCATAAAACTACATTTTAATTAGCAAGAGGTTCTAGGAATAATGGGGTAAACTCCTTTTTTTTTTCTTTTTCTTTTTTTTGCTACTGCTGCTGCTAGACTTCTAAAAATTATAACCTTTTATCCTTCCATCCTATTGCAAAATAGATTCACAGTCTAAATATAACCAATGTTTTACAATAAATAAATTTTGATAAGTCATAACAATAGCAAAATGTAAAATTACAATTTTAAAGAGTTAACTATAATGATGTAAAAAGAAAAGAAAAAGAAAAAGAAAGATGGAATATTTTGGGAAACTTAGCAATTTCTTTCTTTTAATAATATAATCCCTTGAGAGGACTCACTGAATTTGCTTCCTAGTATAGAGTATAAAACATTTTTTTCTTTTTAGCTACATAAAAGTTCTGTTTTTTTGATACCTCCCCTACTGGCTGGCAATTTGCTTATAATTTTTGGTAGGGCATAAGGAGGTAATAAATTTAATGCCACTACTCAGCAAAAATATCTTCAAATGGTAACAAATGTGTAAATTCAACTCTATGTATATAAATTCAAATTGGGCATAACTTTGTAAAAGAGGGCCTGACTTGTGTGTGACATTACTTTGTGAGTGTAAGTGTGTGTGCATGTGTGTGTGTGTGTGTGTGTGTGTGTGTGTGTGTGTGTGTGTGTGTGTGTGTGTGTGTGTGTGTGTGTGTGTGTGTGTGCTGTGTGTGTGTGTGTGTGTGTGTGTGTGTGTGGTGTGTGTGTGTGTGTGTGTGTGTGTGTGTGTGTGTGTGTGTGTGTGTGTGTGTGTGTGTGTGTGAGAGAGAGAGTGAGAGAGGAGTGAGAGAGAGAGAGAGAGAGAGAGAAGAGAGAGAGAGGAGAGAGAGAGAGAGAGAGAGAGAGAGAGAGAGAGAGAGAGAGAGAGAGAGAGAGAGAGAGAGAGAGAGAGAGAGAGAGAGAGAGAGAGAAAGAGAGAGAAAATAGGAGAGGAGAGGAGAGAGAGAGAGAGAGAAAAAAATAGGAGAGGAGAGGAGAGAGAGAGAAAGAAGGCAAACATATTCAATCTAGAAACTGCACATATATGCACACCCAACAGCCTCCGACAACTCTCCCACGCCTTGTCTTCCCTCACATCCCATGCCTTTCCTTAGACTCCTCACCCTCTCTAACACACCAACACCTCATGCCCTGCACCTTCACATTTTCCATACCTTCCAACATGTATTTCAGTCCCTCTTCCTACTTTAGCCTGAAAATGTCATTAAATTGTACCTTTACACCTCCCCGTTTGCTATCCTTTGGAATTGAGAGAATTTTGTATGTTTATCATGTAAAAGTAAACGTATGAATTACATCTTGTCAAAACATCAGGCATGTCTCCTTTTCATTAGGTCTACAAATCATAGAGGGCTGGATGGATTACTACTTTTTTCCAAATGATAGTTATTTCTACCCCCAACAACCAAACATAATAAATAAAGATGTATCATTATGAAATATGTGAAGCCAGAATATAGGATTAAATGTAGTAAATTCATATCTCTGTTAGTATATCTTATCTACATTATAGAGGCATAAAGAAAGGTATTGATAGGATGTACCTCACAAGCTAGAGACAGTGTAGATGGGAAGTTATATTTATTGTTAATAGGCTCCTACTGTCAACAAAGTGTTACATTGAGAGATAAAAACATTTATATTAAATTTATGCACAGCTTTATACAATTACTGTACAAAAACTGTATTTCATATGTAATTTAATGACATGTACCTAACTTCTTTAAGAGAGAGGATTTAAATGCAACACAAAAAAGAATAATTATAGGAATAAAAAACAGACAAGCCTAAAATATATAATTCAACTACTCTGACTTATTGCGTAGTTCCATTTCATAACAGCATAACATAGTTTCCTGAATACTAGTTGGAGTTAATGGTGTATCATTTAAACTGATATAAATGTATCTGTGGACCTATTATTGTAGAGTGCAGTGCTGTTTAATATCAGTGATCTCACTTAGTTAATTTATCAATAATAATCAAAAGTCACATATCTGGTTCAAAAGAAAAATCCTTCCAGTGCTTCTAATCATGGACTGTGATTCAAACTAAAATTCTGTCTCAGAGACAACTAAAAAACATGTTTTACTATACCTTTCTTGGGAGTACTTCTGATACTTCCGGTAGTGTTTCTTCTCAATCTCAATTCCGTTAGTGCATATAATACTCATATGTAAGTTGGCTATTGGAGGGAGCAAAAGGAAGGGGGAAAGGAGGGTAAGGGTGGCTTATCATCGAATTTTATGTATGTGTTCTGAGATGTGCTAATGTGGGTTGGTGGAAGGTGTCTGCTTTGTGGATTTGTAGGAATCTATACTAGTGTGGTATGTTATA